ATATATCCATCTAGGAATAAGATAAGAAATAATCAAACACGTTTGGATTTACTGTTCAGTTAGTGATATCTGAAGAAGGGCATTGCCCAAAATGTTGTATCTACAATAGTATATATATTAAAATATATGTATCTGTAGTTAACTCCTTGTTGTCTTCGGTGGTTTGACCTACAACATACTTCTTTTTATCTCTTTCAACAACCATTATGTATAATTTCCTACCCAGTAAATTCACTTAGAACTGTCAGAACAGTGTGGTCAGAAATCTTCCTCACCCAGCTCAGTAACACTAATAAATAAATGATTAACCCTTTCATGACTGACTAGGTTGTAAGGCAGAATCAATGATATATTTTAACATGGATTTCACCTCTAACTCCAACTTATGCCAAGGCAGAAAAATAACTGACAAAACTAAGTATTTATCTTGTAAACATTATCTGTTTAGCAAAACTTGTTCCAAAACTTCAATTAAACTTTCTAACTGCAGTGGTTTAACCTTCATACTTATTTTTTTTTTCCAAAAATCAAATAGAAAGATAAGCAACTAGTGTTTTCATGCTTGTTCAGCTACTGTAATTGATCAAATTTAGTACAGGTCTTAAAGCCAACAACTACTATGTGTACAATTCACTAATTATTACTTTTTTTTATAGATACTTCAATTTGGAGGGTTGTTATAAAGCTAGAAGGGTTATAAAAGTAGAAAAAAAAATACCACTAATGAAGTTTAAAAATGGCATGATCTAAAAATGTTGAATATGGTGCATAACAAAAGCAGTTTCTTATTGTTTAATGAAATATTTTAGCAAACTTTCTGAATAATGACTAAAGCCTAGGATATCATGAATGAGCAAAAAAAAGTACTTGAGCTTACTTTTCTATATAATAAATAAATATGCCTATGATAGCAGAGCTAGCAATTTTTTTTATTATTTTCATCTGAAAGTGAATGCACAATAGAAGCAGTCGCTGTAATTTGGTGTTGTGGGATATTGAGTAAGTGGCACAATTTGAAATTTTTCAAAATTAAAAAACACAGGCAAATCTTGTTATCAGTTATACACTGTCTCCAAATGCAGAAAAAAAAAGTTAATGTACTATGAAACAAGGATGGTAAAAATATACAGATACTGTAAAAATATTAGCATTAACTACTATGCATGTTGTAAAAATATATTCTTATTTAAAGTTTTTGGTAATTTTCAAATACTATTCAAAACATACCAGGTTATAAATTTCTTAAATTCAATTATGCTTTGTGACTTGTATTCTGACATTCAAAATTAATGTAGGTGGAACTTCAAATTTTAGAATTAAAAATATTTTGATTTATCTCTCCATATTTTATGTGGCATTTAATATATAAAAAGCTTAGAATCAATTGAATTATTTTCAGATTTCAGTGATTATTACCAAACATGTCTGAGTGGATCTCTTCATACTTATTTATCTGTTCATTGGACAAACTAAAAAGTGGATCAGCTCATATTACTAGCAGGACAACATCAGAAGACTGAGCGTTAAAATGGTGTCAACTTGGCCTCTAGTCTGTTTAATTTTTCCACATTTCATTTTTAAAAAACAAAATAATACTACAGATTTAAAGATTATTAGATAGGAAAGTTTCTTTATTTAAATTTTTAAAGAGAAATTTAAAAGACTTCAGTGATTTACGAAGGCACAAAAAATAAAATAGTGAATTGTTGCCACATTTTAATGATTTTGTCCAGTTTCTCTTTAAATATATTCCATAGAAAAGCATACCAAAAGACTGAGTAAACAAAGAGATGACTGTTCAAATGAGGTCAACTTGATCCATTGGTCCGTTTTTAACTGTCCAAACCTTCATGAGCATAAAGCAAAATCAATGATTCATCATATTTGGAAAGTATGAGCTAAAAATTTCAATATCATTATTTTAAGAATGAATTATATCCAATGCATGTTTCAGTTTAAATATTGGTGAAAAAGTTTTAAATATCTGTTCTGAAATAATAAGGTGTACCAACATAAATATTTCTTATGATTTTCCTATGTAATGTGCACCAACAAGTGATTGAAAAACACCTACCTTCGATATCCAGAAAGTCTTGCAGACTTAGAGTGGCTAATAAACCCATTATGCACTGACGAATCACTGCCTAAATATTTTGAAATAGAAATAAAAGTAAATGCTTAACTAATTCTATGGACTTATCCTGCTGAATAACAATTATATAACATCGTTAATTATTCTATATTAGAACAATGTATAAGTGACGTTTATGTGGATTTAAACACGAAGAAAAATTTTAAAAAGATTCCACGCTAAATTCTTGTTGTATGATCCCTCTCCGTGTATACATACATCCAATTATTATGTGAGCACTTACATAAAATGTTAATATGATTTTTAATATCTATAAAAACACTGACAAAGTTTATGTTCTTGTGGATTCTTTTCAAAAATATATTATTCAATATTTTGTAAAGTGGTAGCAATAATTTATATCAATAAAGATGTATTAAGAAAGAAATGTTTGGTTTTATAAACAGGCATGATTTTTTTTCTTTTTCTTGTGACATATATTAACTTTACATGCTTGATCATTACAATAGCGATTATATTTTTGTGAAAGGCATTGCTATGTGGCTCCATCTAGTCAAAAAAGGTTGATTTAACTTTTCCTCACTAAATAAAAAAAATCCAAATATTTTGGATATGAAATTAAATACCAATTACTGACGAAAAAAAATTATGTTCACAATCTTGAATAATAAAACTTAACGCATTTCAGATCGTTGTCTATAAAACAAAAACCTGGAATCCTTACATACTTAAAAAATGAAAAACGAGCCTGTATTTCCTCTTTTGCACTTGTGGTGCTATCATTTTATAACAAACTCAGCCAATTTAAATTAGAGTGTACGTAAAAACAAGTAACTTATTATTTGTACCATACCTTCAACTAAATACATAATATTTTCTGTCAAAACCTTTTGATTTCTTCTTTCTTATCGTTTTTAAATACACTGAGTAAATGTAGCTTATGATTGCAACTGGTTCCTAAAAAATTGAGATAAAATAGCTTTAACTTTGTGTAAAATACGTACGGTAAAGCGTTAGGAACTTCAAAAAATAAAATTAATCTATAAGTTACTGAATTTTTAAAGCTAACTAGAAAGTTATGTAACACATCGTCATTACAGTAACAAGCAGTTTTAAGTTTGTTCAAGACACAAAGTTTCTGTGAACTGCAATTACTTGTTTTGTAAATGCTGCAAGATTTTGTTTAATTGAAAGTTCATAATTGCAATCTGACAATATTTCTAGTCATATATCATTTAGGTATAACATATGTTTAAACAAACGACAAGTTTTTACCAAATTGCTATTAGTGGGATAATATTCCTATATTTAAAAGTCAGTGATATTAATGTCAATTTTTTTCAGTATATTCCGATGAAAAATAATGACGTAATATATATTCATACCTATTACTAAGAATTCTGGCTATATTTTCTGCCATAGGCGCCCACAGAAATATTTTCCAGGTGTGTGTGTGTGGGTGGGGTGGGGGGGAGGAGATGTATATAGGAGATCAGCTTTTACAGTATAACTCAACAGACTAAAATAATGTGTTCTTAAATTACTAAAAATAGTTAGTTTAACTACAATGTTAAGTTTATATCATAATACGTGCGATTTTTTGTGAAATATAAAGGAGACACATGCCCCCTCTTGCCCCTTCTTGCGGGCGCCCATGTCTTCTGCTGTTACCTTAATTTGTGGGAATTGGAATTTTAAACTTAAACGTGTGTGCACATAGGTTAAACGGTCAAGTTAGGGACCCATATGGCTCAAGTATAATCGTCCATAATTTTGACCTACTGGACAGGCAGCCAGCTAACAGCAACAAGGTATTTGTTCAACTCTATGAACAATAACAAGAGCGACTAGCACTTTTATAACATACTCAGTCGAGAAGGGGCAGAGCGACGTCATATCCCCAACACTGGGCCTTTTACTCCACAGAGCTATTTTTCAATTTCACGTTTTGTATCGAAGTGTTCTACATTTCAATTCTTGATATAATAACCTCTATAGAGACTTTTTATCACGAGACTAATGCATATGTACTCAGAACAGTTTCAGCAGCAAAAAAATGGCATTCAGCAAAATTGTTCAAATTAATCGAATAACATTTTAAACTGAGGTTGGATAAGCGTCTTTCACCTTGACCTATCCTAAGTTTATTATGAAATTACTGTATTTAAAATATTAGTCTAATCGAGAGAAATGGTGAGCGTTAAGAAATAGAAAACACGTTTTGACATATTTTCTTTACATATCGGTGTTTATCTAGCCTTAAATTATATGTTTTTAATATCCATTTGAACATTCTGTTCAAAATTTGTAGAAATTCTAAGTGGGTCATGACTGGAAACTTGCTATAGCTTTTCTTAACGCTACTTTACTGCTCTCATTTAAGTACCTAACTCAGCGATAAAATGTTGATTCCTGTTAACCTAACACTCAAAATAAATTAACATTAGAGAATACCGTAATGATCCAGAATTAGGGATAATAAACATACAAAATTACGTAACTTTCGTACATTATTCTTATTTTTTAACAAACAAAAATGTCCAATGTTTGTCAATCTAATTCATGCATCTACGTGAAATTAACGAAGAAAGATGAATCAAATATATGGTTTTTTAACGTGAAGAAAAACAAAATAAAGCAATCATGACAGTGCAAATATATCTCTAAAATCAAATGGTGATTAATAATATCTATGATCAAGGGTTTTTCGCATATAGATTTAACCTTTCAATCTTTGCTGTGTATTAATCACTACACTGTTACTTCTTGTCATGTGACTGAAAACCAAGTTATCCCAAGTGAGAGAGAAAAAATGACAAAAGTTGTGAATTTCAAGATCCTACATGCACACTCGACAGTTGAGCCATGTAATCGAAAAACCGTTTGTGGATTTACTGTTCAGTTAGTGATACCTGAAGAAGAGCATTGCTCGAAATGTTGTATCCACATTAGTATATATATATATATTGAAATATATATATATATATCTGCAGTTAACTTCTTATTGTCTTCGGTAAGTGAACTTACATTGAGATGCAGAAGAAACAATTATGAGTAAACTTGTTGACATATGTTACAAAAGTAACGATCTGATATGTGTTTCACTAAAACTCTTAGAAAACGAAACCAGCAAAAGTTGTATGGACTGATCTTTGTAAAGTAACGAACTGAATTCTCATCATATGACATTAAATACTGATTAATTTTTCTTCTGAACATTAGATATAAATAAATGCTTTATGAACATGTGTTCTAAGACTTAATTATAATAACAATACATATATAAAGAATCTTTAGCCATTTTCTATTATTTCACAAAAACAACATATTTTATCTATGTTTATTTATCTCCTGTAAGTGGTCCTTTATTAAAATTTATGTTCAAATCTTCTTCTTAATAAAGTCTTGTAGATTGAAATATTTATACATGCTATTCACTAATTGTTACAGCAAAGGCAAGGAATTTAATGAAGAAGGGCATGAAGTATGACTTTTCCTAAAAAAATGCTTAGACATTTTTTTTCTGAATTTTTAAAAATCTCTTACTGAAGG